TATGTATATATAATGATAGGGAAGTAGATATATGTACATATATTTATATGTTAAGTATTAAGGCGGCAGAATGATATTGGGCATCTACTCAGGTACGCCCTCAACACAAGAACACTTTGTTCTAATAACCTGGCATACTGTGATGTTCACCTTCCTGACACAATCGCTGAAGACAAAATGGGTACATAAGCAAATGTGGTGAAGAAAGCTGATGGTGCCCAGCTATCAAAAGACATAGCATCTGGGGCTATCTTCAAAGGCTTGAAGATAAACAAACGACCGTCTAGCTGAGAAGCAACAAAAGCCACACGGAAGAAGCACACCAGCCTATGTGATCATGAGGTGTCGATGAGATCAAGTATCAGGTATCAAAGACCCAGAACAAAAAATTATATGGATCTGAATGAGGGGGAGGGTAGAGTGGAGCCCCAACGCCCATCTGTAGATAATTGGACATCCCCTTACAGAAGGGTCACAAGGAAGAGATGAGCCAGTCAGGATGCAGTATAGCACCGATGAAACATACAATGCTTTAATACTCCCCCACCACCACCTATCATGACCCCAATTCTACCTTACAAATCCGGCTAAACCAGAGCATGTACACTGGTACAGATAAGAACTAGAAACACAGGGAATCCAGGACAAATGAACCACTCAGAACCATTAATGATGGTAGCAATAACAGAAGGGGAAGGGAAGGTGGGGGGAGGAAGGAGGAACCACTCACAATGATCTATATATAACCCCCACCCAGGGGGATGGACAACAGAAAAGTGGGTGAAGGGAGACATTGGTCAGTGTAAGACAAGAAAAAATAATAATAATTTATAAATTGTCAAGGGTCACGGGGGAGGGAGGGGAAAAAATGAGGAGCTGATACCAAGGGCTCAAGCAGAAAGAAAATATTTTGAAAATGATGATGGCAAATAGGTACAAATGTGTTTGACACAATGGATGAGTGTATGGATTGTAATAGAGCTGTATGAGCCCTCAATAAAATGACAAAAATCAGAAATAATGATGGCAACATGTGCACAAATATGGTTGACATAATTGATGTATGGATTGTTATAAGAGCTATAAGAGCCCCCAATAAAACGATCTTTTTAAAAAAGAAAGAAAGAAAGAAAGAAAAGATGATAGGGCATGGTACCCATGAGAATGGAAACTAAAACCGAGACAGTCCCTTTAAAGGGTCTGCTGGTTCACATGAGGTTCAATTTTCAGAAGAAAAACTCAAAATGACTTAACAGGATGAATGCTTACATCTCTCTCACATTCAAATAGTCTGAAAGCAGCAAGTCCAAGAATGCTATAGAGGCATCATGGCAGAGCCGGGCACACAGGTTCCTTCTATCTCCTCACACTGTCATGAGAGGCTTCGAGTCCCAAGATGACCCTACAGTCCCAAGATGCTGCTGGACAACCACATCCCCGCAAGCAGTCAAGAACAGAGCCTACCACGCTCTCTTTAAGGGAGATGTGGAGACCTCTCATCCCCAGGGCCAGGTCTTCGTCACACCTCCCTGCAAAGGAAAGCTGGGAAATGTATCCTTTATTCTAAGCTGCTGGGAATCTAGCTAGAAATCAAGCGTTCTATTACGATGGAAGAAAGAGAGATCATATGTTGGGACAACTTTCTTTCTCCGCCAGTAGACTCCTTGAAGACTAAAATTGTGTGCTCTAGCAATTCCACTTTCGGAAGTTACCGAACGCCCACTTTTAAGGAGAGCGATCACTGTGTGGTTGCCCAGCATGTTGGGAAAGAATGGGGATGTTTGTCGTCAGAGGACTGGTGGACAAACTGCTACAAACCCATAATGGGTGGAGCTGTTGAAGAGAAGGCACTTCCCCCACCCTGATGTGGCATGAGCTCCAAGGTCAAAAGCAAGCTACAGCACATAGACATAAAAACAAACCAACCAGGAGTGATATGCATATGCCTTAGTATGTGGGCAACCACAGGCTATCTATGGGAGAGTATGAAGACGTTGGCCTTGGTGAGGTTTTAGAGAAAGAGACAGAGAGCCTAAGTTCAAACTGAAGGTCATCTACACACCCCTTGTCCCCCCCCTTTTTTTTAAGAGAAACTTTTAAGATAGGGTTAAAAGCAGGCTTTTGGCCTCTTTGACTAAGAGGTTTTACTTCTGTTGAAACGCCCCTGCTGATTCAGCTATTTCCTCAGTGATGCTGTGATGACCAAGGTTGAAGCTGTGGCATTTTAGACGGAAAGGCCTACGGCATAGGTCAGGGCCACCAATAGGATTTGACAACAAACCCTTCTTGGCCTGTTTTCAGAGCCCTTGAGGACGTGTACTCACCGTGACTCATGCCTATCTGTCCCTGCTCAGAAGGCCCTACAGGGTGCTCTGCCTGCTAACAAGCTTCCTGCAGGCTGAGACCCTGGTACAAAACACCACCCGGGAGCAGCCTTCTAGGAGCCCTGGTGGCCCTCGCCTCTCCTCTCCAGCCCTCACCACCCAGGAGGCCTGCTCCCTGGTGGTGCCCTGCTCCTGCCTCAATTCCCAGCCAGTCTGCCTGTGTTATGGGGACCAGCAGAGTGCACAGCACTGAGCTGGGGCCCATGCCTACAGACAATCCCTGGGGCCTTGAAGGCTGACGTATGTACAGAGGCCAAGCTCCATTGGAACAGGTGTCCTTAGTACCTTCCTGAGAAACCAGCCCCAGCCCCAACCCTCAGGCCCCCCATGGCCCCACTGACACTTCCTGAAGGCTCTGGGTCCTGGAGCTTGGTTATATCCCTAATTCCATTCTTCTGACAATGGGGGCGGGAGGGGGGAAGCGGTTGCCCTGGAGTTAGACTGGTGGCAATCCCATGTGTGTCAGAGTACAACTGGCCCTGTATGGTTTTTCAATGGCTGATTTTTCATAATTCGTTCACCAGGCCTTTTATCCAAGGCATTTCTGGGTGTGCCCAAACCTGCTAGATCTCAGTTAACAGCCAAGTGTTTTCACTGTTTGCACTGTCCAGGTATCAGCAGCTCCCTTTTCACTCTGGCCACCAGGGAACTCAAAGTCGAACTTCTACAGCTGCAGCAATATGGATGTGTCCAAGCTCTCACTCCTTTGTTTTCCGGAACCCAGTGCTTTATTCCAGTTTATGCCTGGTCGCTTCACCTTGAACGTCACTCCTGGGCAGGCTATCTTTTGTGTGCCAACAATGTGTTAACCACTATTCTAGGGTTAAAATAATAATAGCAATAGACTCTGCTTCATGCTTCATTACCATAGACGTTATGTTTTAGTCCTTGCAAGATCAGCACTGAAAACCCATTTCACAGATGGCAAAAGGAGCTGAGGAAGGGCAGAGGTTGCACCCCTTCCTCAAAGATTATAAGAAGCAGACAACAAACTGGCCCCGCCCAGCTCAGCGCAGCTCAGCCCTTTAACAGGGAGGGGAGAGAACGACTGCTTATAAGACTCTAGTTCCTGGAACAGAACTTGCTCCTAATCCAGGACTGCCAGCAGTAGTTGAGCTCTCTAGAGGCAGAGCTGCGTGTGGAACGGGATCAGTTACAGGCGAACAAAGATCACCGCCGTGAAATGGGCGTTTTCACAACAGAAAGCATATTTTGCTTTGGGGCATTTTTTTAAATTAAAAGATCATTTTATTGGGGGGGGCTCTTATAACGCTTATTAAGATCCATACATCAGTTATATCTGGCATATCTGTAGACATGTTGCCATTGTTCTGTTCTAGACAATTGCTTTCTATTGAGCTCTTGGTATCAGCTCCTCCCACCCCACCCCCAGGGGATCCCCTTGATAGATTATAAAGAATTATCATTTGCATGTCCCACACCGACCCGGTGCCTCCCTTCCCCCATGGTTCTATTGGTCTTTCCCCTGGAGGGGGGGATGTGGTTATGTGTTGATCATTGCCATCAGTAACCCCTTTCCCACCCCCTGCCCCCCATCTTCCCCCTACCTTTCTGGTATCATTCATCCCATTCCTGTTCCGGGATTCCGAGTGTCCTGAGCTTTTGTCTTGTGTCTATGCCTGTGCACATGCTCCGGGCTAGTCCGAAGTGAGAAGCAGCACTGGGGTCCTGACAGTGGGGGGTGGAGAAGCCTCAAGGAACCAGAGGAATACTGTGTTCCATCGGTGCTTGACTGCACCCTGGTTGATTCATCCCTTCCCTGGGACTCCTCTGTGGGGGGATGTTCCATTACCTACAGATGGGCTTTGGGTCTCTGCTCTGAACCCCCTCATTCTCAACAATGTTTTTGTTTGTTGTGGGTCTTCTGATGCCTGTTACCTGGTCCCGATGACACCTCACGATCGCACCGGCTGGTGGGGCACTGGTTTTGAGTAAAGTTCTCTTAGGAAACACCTGAGCAATGATTTATAAACAATCTTGATGCTATCTTTCTCTCTAATGAGAAGACAGGAAAGTATAACTGTTTCCATATTGGGAGGGCCTACTACACAGTGGCATCTGTCTTGTCAAATCACAGAATATTATGATCTTCTTTGCGTTTCCCTGATGAGAATATAACTGTGACTTTGAAATAATAGTTCTCAGTAAGTGATGAAAATGACAATGCGTACTGTCTGTCCTGCTGCACTGAACTCTTGTGAACATTAAAGGACACCTTGTGGGAGGTCTGTGGGTAAAAATTAAATAAGTAACAAAACTCTTGCTCCTGGATCAAGGGGGTCTTTGACCCACACGCAGGGCCCCGAGGGCAGGCACAGCCCTCGCTTTGCTCCCCTTCCCAGCGGCAGCCCAGAGCCTTGCCCCAGCTAACTCCTGGTTTGAACAAAGGAGCTGACGCTGAGCCTTCCCCAAGGGGCCGGGAGGCCTCAGCGCTTGAAGGAACCTGCACCAGCTCCACACTGCCACCTTCTGTCCTTTTGCCTTTTTATTACAAAATAGATCAAGAAAATATATGCAGTCAGCCATTCAGCCCGGGGCCACAGTGGCTCAGAGTAAGCAGAGCCCGGAGGGACAGGGAGGAGGGTCATGAGGGTTGGCCCAGTCTGGGGGCCCTCAGCCAGCTAAACCAGGCCTGGCCCAGAGGAATCCATGTCTGGGGCCACCTGCTGAGCTAGGTAGGTGAGGGCACGTAAGGGGAGGGAAGATGGTCCCACACAGAGCAGAGACAGGCGGTCAGAGGGAGCAGGGGGCCAGAAGGGCAGAAAAGGGCCTCCAAACCAGGGAGGAGGGGGCTGGCACAGGGTGCCCACCACAGAAGGTAGTGGCCTTGTCCTCTTCCATCCTGGACTCCGCTCCTGGGTGTCCACAGAGGCCCTTGCAGACCCTGGGCCTCAGGCATTGAGAGCCTTCCAGTGCTCACTGTCCGTGCTGTTAATACTGCCCGGGTGGCACGGCATGGAGGCAATGTCGTCCAGGTAGGCGACGCCCCCCGCCGCCGAGTCAAATTGTGTGCTTGAGTAGCTGGCGGTAGAGGCCCCTGCGGCTCCCACCGCCTCCAGGCCCTCCCGGCGGGCCACCGCGTAGGGCTGGGGCAGGTGCATATCTGGCTCCTCCGTCTCGTCCACTTGGCATTTGTAGGAGAAGAGGATCTTGGGCTCTGAGCTGGAGGGCAGAAGACCAGGGGAAGCCTTACTGTGGCTCAGGAAAGGTCTCCCTCCCCGGGTAGAGGGGCAATCAGGTACAGAAGGAAACACAGTATTAGTAGGCCACTGGAGATCCCCTTGCAGAGGGGTCTCGGGGAGGAGATGAGCCAGTCAGGGTGCGATGTAACAATGATGAGAAATACAACCTTTCTCTAGTTCCTAAAGGTTTCCTCCCCGCTCCCACTACCATGACTCGAATTCGATCTTGCAAGACTGGCTAGACCAGAGGAGGTACACTGGTACAGATAGGAACTGAAAATACAGGGAATCCAGGACGGATGAGCCCTATAGGACCAGTGGTGTGAGTGGCAAAACAGGGAGGGTAAAGGGAGAATGGGTAGGAAAGAGGGAACCGATTACATGGAACTGTGTGTGACCTCCTCCCTGGGGGACAGACAACCGAAAAGTGGATGAAGGGAGACGTCGGACAGGGCAAGATATGACAAAATACCCATTTATAAACTATCAAGGGCTCATGCGGGAGGGGGGAGTGGGGAGGGAGGGGAAAAATGAGGACCTAATGTCGGGAGTTTAAATGGAGAGAAAATGTTTTGAGAAACGATGTACAAATGCGCTTTACACAATTGATGTGTGTATGGATTGGGATAACAGTTGTATGAGCCCCTAATAAAATGTTAAAAAAGGGAAAAAAAAAAAAAAAGAGCTGTCTGAACACCCACTCCCAGAGGTCCCTGTCACTTGGAACTCGGGCATGAAACAAGCCTTGTTGTAAAACGGACAGGTCTCTGTGCCAGAAAGTGGGCGCCCCCAGCTCTTGAGGCTCTTTGTGGAGGAGGTACAGAGGGAACACAAGCGCCTCGACCAGTCCCTGGCACACAACGCCCCGTGAACACGAGCTGTCAGCTCACCCTCGGCCCTGGGATCCCAGCAGCTCTTGGTATTCTGCACCTCAGCTCTGCCCATCCCTCAGTGCCCAGGACAAGTCTCTGAGGTCAGGGTTACTGTACCCATTTTACAGAACAGAGCCCAAGGCTCAGGGTCTGCAAGGCCACAGTTCAGCCCTCACTCCGGAACTGGAGCTTACCCTGCTCCAATATGCCCTCACTTCTCCCGCTGCCCAAAGACCTGGCTGTGGGGCAGGCCCAGCGTGAGACCGACTGCCACAAACACTTAGCATCCTTCTTCCCGACACTTCCCCACCCCCCATAGACTTCCCACCCCACCCCGTCCCACTCATCCTGCCCACTGCCCCAGCTAGAATTCCAGCTCCCCGAGGGGAGGGATCTGTGTCCACTTGCTCCCGGCTCTGTCTGGTGGTTCACGCCAATACCCAGCATCTAGCACAATGAATGCGCTGTTCCGTGAAAGCCAGGAGGTGCAGAACAGAGCACACATCTGCCATTTCTTTGGTGGTGTGCCTGCGTGTGGGCACTGCGTAAGCGCATAGATGCGCCTGCATACACAGATACACAATATACGCACAGCCAGCCTTGTTCAAAGTCAATGTGAGTGCACGCTCCTACAGGTGCCGTTCCAAGGCAGGCCACGTGGGGGCGCCCACAAGCCCGAAAACCTGCAGCGCAGGCAGGTTCATGTCTGTGGCCCCAGCATCCCCATGCCCTGTAGCGTGACTCACCCAAAGAAGCCGCGGAGGAAGGCCACGTAGATGAGAGGCGCAAACAAGCTGAAGTACAGGAAGGTGGTGGCGTCCACACAGCTGGAAGGAATGGGGGATGGCTACTGGCACCCGGAGCAGCGCACAGGGCCACGTCCCCAGGTCCACTCCCCTCCTGCCACGTACTCTGTGTCCTGGGCTCGGAGGCACACCTGGGGGTCCCCAGTCAGACCTGTCCTCCCGTCGCCCCATCACCCTCACCCCTACACGTCGGCAGACACCTGGCCCAGGGCCCACGTACCAGAGCCCCTCGATGATGTCCGCGCAGAGCAGCGCGCTCCCCAGCCCCTGCACCAGGTTGAGCAGCGCCAGGATGCCCGCATACACGTAGAAGCTCCTCCGAGCTGGGGGACCAGGGCGTGAGGGCCTACCCTTGCCAGGGCAGACCTAGGCCCCCTCCACCCTCCACCCTCCGTCTCAGTGTGAGGGAGACCTGGGCACCCCCATCCCTCCCCGCAGGGTTCTCCAGTTCTAAGCCACAGTGGCCCCAAAAGGGCCCCAACCCTGCCCCCAGCGGCTCACAAGGCAGGGAGATGCGGTCCTTCAGCGGGGTCTTGGGGAGGATGACCACCAGAGAGTAGACCTGGGGGCACAGAGCAGGGCTGAGAAGGATGCTGGGGCCCAGGCCCCAGAGGGCACCTCGCCATCCCAGGGCCCTCCAGCCGATGACAGGCTCCTCCTCACCAGGAAGAAGAAGCATGAGCTGACCAGCCAGAACTGGCGGCCCCCATGCCCATAGATGTTGAAGTCCTCAGCGGAGAGGTGAGCATCAGGGTACAGGATCTCCAGGGTGCCCTGCAGGGGCAGGAGGGAGACCAGAGAGGGTCTCATCAGTCTCTCCACCTAGAAAGCCCACCCACTATAGCTCTCCTGCTAGCTGCCCTGGCTCTCCACAGCACGGTAGCTGAGCCTCTCAGCCTGGGCTTTGTGGCGTAAGGCAGTTCCACTCCCCCTCAGCCTGCTTTCTGGCTGCACCCCGACCACTTAAATCCAGTGCCCTGTTTTCGCCTAACTGTCTTGGCCTAACTCTGACTAGGGGCCAGAGATGAACATTTTCCCCACCTGCGCTGTTTGCTAAGTGGCAGGTTCCTGTACCCCACTGATGATTCTCCTGTGGATGCTTCTGGGGGTGAGGGCAGCGGGGGACAGAACCTCCCTTATGGAAAGCTTGAGAAGCACAGCCTCAGACGGACCCGGCTGTGCATGGCCTCCACCAGGCAGGCCCCGTACCTGGGTGACAGAGTAGGCGAGGGACAGCACTGTGGTGATGGCCAGCACACGCTTGATGCTTGACTTGCTCTCCAGGTGGCCTGGAAAAAAGTGCTAGTCCATCAATGGGAGCTGCTCCAGGGAAGGTGTCAGGTTCCACCCCTGGCCAGGGAGGGCAGGGGAGGGAACTGGCCTCGGCCCCAGAGCCCCAGGGGCACACGCACCAAAGGCCAGGCCCAGGATGACCACACTCAGCTCGATGGCCAACAGGAAGAAGCGGGTAATCTCCCACAGGATCTGAACACAGAGTGGGCAGAACATCAGCCAGGGGGCCCATCCACCCTCTCCCTGCACTCAGCACCCCGCCCCCCGCCATCAGCAGGCCCAGACCCACCTTGTCAGCAACAGTGGCCGCATTGGAGGTGCTGACTGTCATGGACACCACAGCCCGAGCAATGCCCACCAGGGCCACCACAAACACCTGGTGGGGAAGAGACAAAGTTGGGGACCCAGAGCTCAGGCCACACATACACGCACCCCATACACACAGGAGCCTGTGATTCTTCCAGAAGGAGGATTCAAAGAAAACAGGATGTCACCAAGGGCAGGCTGGCAGAGGACGCCAAGAGGTGGGGTTCCCACAGCAGGAAGGCCCACAATGCTGGGAGACCTCAGCCCAGCCTGCCTGGCCCTCTTTGGGTCTCGGTTTCCTGGCTAGCACTTTGTCCACACTTTCCGAGGTCTTTGAAACAAAACAGGGGCCAAAATGGTTAGGAGAGTTTGAATTCCAGTCCATTCCTTCCGGGTAGCCCTGTGCTTCAACTCCAACAAACTGGGGCTTGCTGGAAAGATGGAGTGGGTTGAGCTGTGAACAGAAGAGTGCTTGGCCCCCAGTGAGGATGAAGTACTTGGTGACAGCATCATCACACATGGATCTAAGTGCAAGTCACACAGGGCACAGGAAAAAGCAGCTATTGAAAAGAGGCTTCAAAGACCTTGGAGAAGGCAAGCAATTGTCAGGCTTTGCAAAAGCACCCTGTGCTCAGCACAGGAGTCTGCCCATGTGGTCTAGGTGAGGCTGAGCCCCACCCCTCCTCCTGGCTTCAGGGACAGGCCTGTGACCCTCTTAGCCTCAGCACATCTCAGTGTGGGTGTGGGGTCCTGGGGAACCTAGGGAAAGTCACCCCTGGGCCATCTGGTGCAACCAAGCGGCTGAGACTGCAGAAAGAGACATTAAACTTAGAGGGGGACAGAGACCAGGAACCCAGCCAGGCCAAACTCTGGGACTAATCAGGTCCCAAGCCAACACTCTTCCTCTGACCCCTGGGACTGAAGTTGGGTTTTCTGGAGCACAGATTCATACACAGGCCGGCCGCTGTAACATGGAAGCAGGGTCTGAGCCCCGGCAGCTCCCTGCACTCAGTAGGGCAGGCTGTAGAGGCTGAGCCCCTTCTGTGTGCCAGGCTCCCCTGGGCTGGAGCACTACAGGCTGTCTGATTTGATGCTCCCAGCATTGCCACAAGCCAAAGCGTATTCATTACACATCACACTGGAGGGCTTCGTGGACCAGAGAGGCCACGCCACTGGCCCACAGTCACACAGCTCTTTATGGCAAGGACCCCGAGAGAAAACAGTAGGGCAGAACAGATTCCCGTGGACATTATTTCTAGGCTCCTTTTCCCTGCCCACTCCCCTAGAAAGGACATCTGCCAAGTATATGGAGGGTGTTCAATATATGCTTAGGGAATATGTAAATGTGGAAGAGTAGAAAATAGGCCTCGGTTCACACTCTTCCCCTCCCAACTCACAGGAAGGGAGGGAGCTAAGTGTGTGGTGGCCTCCAGTGTCCCCACAGCCCCTCACCTGCCTGCCCAATACCCACCCCTCTGACCTGAGAAGTTCTGAGCCAGATCGCAAAGAGGAATCCCCGAAAGTGATGAGGGTATCAGGGTCCCAAGGGTTACGGAGGGGCTGAAGGCAGTCTCTCCCTTCTTAGGCAGGCAGGGAGTGGGGCAGCGAACACCTAGAGCCACCCTCTCCAGCCCAGCCCTAATGTCTCACCTGCAACCTGCCTCGTGACCACCCAGGGAGGAGGACATGGGCTCACCAGAGGCAAAGAGTCTGTGTGTGAGAGGTCTCGGGATGTAGGGAGGGACACACAAATGGACACATGGCTCACGGCCCTCCCCTGCCACCCATCATCCATTCCCCGTTCCTCTGGGAGCAGTTTCCCAGTTTTCTTCCAGGGACCACCTCCCTCACATCCTTCTAATTCAGGTGGTCTATGAGCTGACCCCATCCTCCCAGCTCCAGAGTCCTCCTCAGGGACTGGTCCAGGGAGGCACGTGTGACCCTTGCTGGGCCAGCCAGAGAGAATGCCAGGTCTACCTGGGACTGTCAGCAGAGGGGGAGGAAGTGGGTAGGGAGACAGGTCAGCGCGAAGCCGCTCTGGGCCATAGTTGGCACCACATGGGGAGGGCTCAGCTGAGATAAGGGCAGAGAAGGGCCACGGCCCGGGATGCAGACACACTTTGGGTGATGTCCGTGAATCCCTGGATCCCTCCATGCCTGCAGCTGGGACTTCCCGTTCCATGAGGTGATTAGCTCTTCCTCTTTTCCTTCACACAGCGGGAGCTGAGCTTCCTCTCCTGCTGCTGAATGGGGTGGACTCACCAGGATATAGAAGGTGATGAAAATGGGGCTGGAGGAGACGCGGATCTTGGCCCGGGCGAAGGGAAGCTTCCAGAGCAGGAAGATGAAGAAGAGCACGTTGGGGATGAGCAGCAGCAGGTCCCAGTACCGGACCCTAGCAGGCGGGTGCGAGAGCTGACTCACCAGCGAGGTTACTTATGTGGGTGCACCCCAGCCCCAACCCCCTCCCTCCTCACACACAGACCCTGGGGAACCCACTCACATGCCTCTGACCCCTCACCTCGAGGTCCCGATGTCTTCATAGAGCAGCAGCAGGCAGTGGTGTGGCACGCTGATGTTCGGCGCCAGGGGTGGGGGCAGTGTGGTGCTGCCATTGGCCCAAATCCTCTGCTCCGGTGTGTCCATCGCGCCAGCAGCCAGCCCTGTGGAGTAAGAAGCATGACGTTAGCAGGGCAGCAGCTGGGTGGCTCTGGGCCCTGCACTTCTGCCTCTGATCTGTCTCCCAGCAGAAAGGGGCAACATCCAATAGCCTGTGGACACCCCCCCTCCCCATGTCAGACAAATGCCCTCAAGTGTCCCACCCCCCAGGAGCTCAGCCCCTGCCTGCCGGGTGGGGCAAGACGGAAAGCTCCCACACGGATCACCACCTAGTCTTTTGAATGAGAGCCCAATTCTCAGCTGAGGAGCTTTCTGGTGACACCAAATAATGACAACAGTCCCATCACATACTGAACGCCTTTGTGTGCCAGGCGGGGCAGCATGAGCTACTTGGTATCCCGTCCTCCCCTCAGGTCTGAGGGCTGGGGCAGAGGGCAGAGTGGAGGGGCATGTGCTCCAGACAGGCACCCTGACAGGCAGTCACGAAGGGAGGGGGCACTGTGCCTGGAAGATGCCCAGGGGCTCTCCCAGTGGAGATGGGAGTAGGGCGACGCGCTGGGAGCACAATGGCCAGGCTGCCGGGGCACAGCTGGAGCCGTCAGGCTGAGCCCATCTGGGAGGACCCATCCCACCTCCACTCTGAGATGCTCATGAGGTCAGCCTGGAGGGCAAAGAGCTGGCGTTCTGGGGTCCGAGGACACAACACAGAAGCACGCTGCGATGGGGACTGATGGAGTGACTGGGAAACCAAGACACAGGCTCCGGGGGCACAGAGGGGTCTCAGGAGGGGCAGCAGGAGCTGAGCTCCACTGCCAGCAGCAGGAGCGCCCAGGGCCGGGGGAGGGCTGTGACCCGGGGAGACAGGCCTGATCAGAGTGCACATCTGGCAGGATGGCTTGAAGCCTCTGGGCCCTAGGACCCTCTTCTTCGCCGCTGAGCAGAAGTGCGCACACACCTCCCCGGCATAATTAGAATTACGCTGCTGGTGAAGAATATTGAAAGCAGAGTGGGCTTCCAGAAGAACAAACATCTGTGTTGGAAGAAGTCTAGCTGGACTGTCCCTTCGAAGTAAGGATGGTGAGTCTTGTCTCCGGGACTTGGGCCACGTTGCAGGAGAGACTAGGCCCTGGAAGAGGCCATGATGCTTGGTAAAGTGGAGGGTCCGGGAGGTGTAGAAAGCAGCCTGAATGGCCACCAACTGCGAAATGCATCCATAAGCAACAGCACGCGCGCATCCACTGGAACGCGGCACAATCAGGAAAAGAGCCGACGAGGGTGGCAGAGCCGCCTGGACACAGCCCACAGACCGGCTCTGAGGAAAGCCTGGCCGAGCAGTCCAAGACCAAGCGGCACTGCGCTGGGTTGCTACTAATCCCGCCCTGAGCTCTGGCACTGAGGAGGGCAAGGGCTGGAGAGAGGCAGGGACATTTTCTCCCACGTCCCTAGCTGTGCAGTTGCGCGTGACACTACCGGCTGAGAGAGACAGGAGTCGGACACAGGACTGGAGATCGGCCACCCGGCCTCTTCTCCAGCAGGTCACTTGCCAGCCGTGTGACCACGGGCAGACATTGCCACTACCTCGAGGTCGACAGGGAATGTTAGGGAGAATACACACCTGACTCTTAATTGATGCTGGTTGTCCCGGGCACCGTGGAGTTGGTTCTGACTCATAGCCCCGCTGCGTGCAACAGAACACAACACCGTCCAGCCCCTCAGCTGCCCCATAAAGGTGATGCGGAGTCAGTCCAGCGTGTCAAGAGTCTTCCTCTTCCTCCCAGACGCTCCACTTCACCAAGCATCATGGCCTCTTCCAGGGCCTAGTCTCTCCTGCAACGTGGCCCAAGTCCCGGAGACAAGACTCACCATCCTTACTTTGAAGGGACAGTGTCCAGCTAGACTTCTTCCAACACAGATGTTTGTTCTTCTGGAAGCCCACTGTGCTTTCAATATTCTTCACCAGCAGCGTAATTCTAATTCGACCGCATCAATTGACCTTCAGTCTTACTTCGTCAACCATCGCAGGCACGAGACGATTGGAAAGACCATGCGTGGCTTGAGCCAGGTGCACGAGTCCTCAACGTGCGACCCTTGCTCTTCAACGCTTTCAACACCTTGTGCCGCGGAGTTGGTTCTGATTTACCACTGCAATATGCCACGTGAGTTCCAAAGAAAGAAGCTGGTTTCTTCCTGTGGGACAGGTGGCCACAGGGGTCTTCCGAGCAGTGAGAACATTCCTTCATTCGTCCACTCAGTTGGCATGGCTGAGCGCCTTCCATCAACCAGGCGCAAGTCTTGGTGCCAGGAAAACAGCAAGCCACAGGGTGGACCAGGCCCTGCCCTCATAGGGTCTTTACTTTAGGGGCGGGAAGCTGACAATACACTGAAATACCCATATGTGAAATGACAAATTTAGTGGTAAGAAGGGAATAAAATGGAGCGTCCCAGCCCACAAAGCAGGAAAGCTGAGTATCTTGGGGCAGGAGACTGATGGCAGAGTGGGGTGCCTCCAGGCACTTGTTAGCAGAGCGTTGTAACACTCATCCAAGCAGGGCAGAGGCTGGCCTGACCTAAGAAGTGACCTCAGAGGGCCAAGGACCAGAGAGAGACGGGGGCCTAATAGAACCCATAAACTGTAAGTCTAGTCTTTGAGTTCTGTGTGGCCATTACAACAAATTACTGCACACGGCAGACGAGGAGAGTGCTGTGGGACGGACAGCTGGTGTCAGAATTGGTAAAGGTTAGAGAAGACATGGCTGACCTTAGAGGAATCAGCCTAGGGCTGTTGATGCTGATAGTCAAAGAACATCAACGACATTGTTTCCACTCCATGTTCACAAGGGGATATGACTTCTCTTGGCTTTGCCTGTCCAGCATCCACGCCAGGCCGTTGATTTTCCTATATGGGGGAGTGTCCCCACAGCAACTTATGTTCCTGTAGGAACACTTCAGCTCCCCTCATTTCCCTGGTGAGGTTTAGGAAGGGCTGGCTCCACCCCACAGCACTCCAGGTAATGTGCAGCCAAGACCTTTGTTGGAATAGCCTTCTCTCACTAAGTGGTAAACTAGGCCAGAGCTGTGCCGCTCCGATCCCACATGGGGAGACCCTGCCTGAGACTAACACTAGCACAGAGGAGAGGAGAGCAGAGCAAAGACAGAGATGGGTCTTGAAGCGTTTATGTGAGTCCCTGGATCCTGGCACACCTAAGCCAGTCCTGCCCCTAGACTTGTTGCTTCGTCTCGTTTACAATACAAAAGTACTTGCAGCTAAAATAGGTCAGAGTGAAGCAGTCGTGGAATGCACTTCTGGCTCTGCCACATGCTTGCTGTGTGACCATGGGTGAGTCACTGTCTTTCTCTGTGTTTCGGTGGGATAAGAACACCTACCTAACAAGTATCAGACAAAACCAGAGGTGTGAACGTGCACAAAGCGCCCCGTGTACAAACACAATTGCTGTTTTCCTTATCAGAGCAGGCTACGGGGTTGGAGGAACATGGCCCATAAGTCCTAGGACCCCTTTCTTCTTTTTCCGAAGATCATAGAGTTTAGTAAAGCAGTGTCAGCCGTGACTCAGAGCCACAGAATGAAACACTGCCCAGTCCACAGTCATTCCCACACGTGTTGCTGTTGGAGCCTCCGGTGCAGGCACTGTGTCAATCCACCTCACTGAGGGCCTGCATCTTTTCTGCTGACTTTCAACTTGACCAAACATGACGACACTCTCCAGGGACTTGGTCTCTCTTGATAACACCATAGTTTATGAACATTCCGGTTGTATTTCTTCCAAGACAGATATGTTTGTTCTTCTGACAGTTCGTGGTATGTTCTATCTCAAGGGTCCTCAAACTTTTTAAACAGGGTGCCAGTTCACTGTCCCTCAGACCCGTTGGAGAGCCAGACTATAGTTTTAAAAAAAATCTATGAACAAATTCCTATGCACACTGCACATATCTTATTGACGTAAAAAAACAAATGGGGCAAAAATACCCAGTGGACCGGATAAATGTCCTCGGCGGGCCGCATGTGGGCCGTAGTTTGAGGATGCCTGTTCTATCTTCTTGGCCTACATCACAATCCAAAGGCTTTCTTTCCTCAGTCTTTCTTTCCCCACCCTTTCTTTTTATTGTGAATTGGGTGAAGGTTTAGAGCAGATGTGTTCTCCATCCCACAATTCATCCACCGCTTGTTTCATCTCGTTGACTGCAATCCCCACACTATGGCATCCTTTATCCCACGCCCTCCCTGTATTTTCTGTGTCCATTCCTCCCTCTTTCCAAACCCTCCTGAACTTTGTCCTTGGGTAAATATTGTCCTTTAGATCCCAAAGGGTGGATTATTCTTTGGCGTGCATACCTCACTAAAATTATTGTTCCCCTTGTAGACCCACCTGCCTGCTGTTTGCTCATGAGGGTGAGCTCATTTCCAGACCTGAAGAGTGACCCCGGGCCACAGCATCAGGGGTTCCTCCAGTCTCTTCCAACCAGTACGCGTGGTCTTTCTAAAAATTAATTTTGGGTTTTCGACATCTTTCTCTCAAGGGCTCCTTTTGAAGCTACAGTTGCTGTGGGGGTCTGGGATGAGGCGGGACAGGGGTCCCCACTGCCAACCTGCGCCTGACCCACTTGCTAAGCACTTGACAGGCAGTGTTTCCCTCACCTTTATTCTCTCAGTGATAAGTACTCCTACTCTGCCCACTGTGGAGAGGCTTGGGGAGAGAGGGGCATCTGCCAAGGTTCTGTCTCCACAGCTCAGGCACCAATCTGCAACTTGCGGAGTGCACCTCGGCTCCTCTACCTGCTCTAGAACCGTGCTTCTCAAATGGATGCACCTCGAGGCTGTTATAATCCAGGTTCGGATCCAGCAGGCCCCCCTAGTAGGGCTGAGTCTGTATTTCTAACAAGGTCCCAGGGAACCTGATGCCATTGGACCATGGACCACCGCTGAGGTATGAGGCTATCAGCCATTGCCAACCATTACAAGTATTTGAAGTAATAATAAAAATGCAGTAAGCGTTCCTCCGCAGGCAGGTATAAGCATGGGTTACTGGGTCCATTCTACAGAAGAGGAAAGCCCAGGTGTGAAGGGGTTAAATTCCTGGCCTTCCTGTTCCTAAGCGGTTAGGTAGATAGGACCTGGTACACCTACAGACACCCTTCAAGGCCCAAGGCCTGGTCACTTTCAGAATGGCCAGAACCCTGCCTGGGGTACACAGATTGTCCGAAGAGGCCCTGCTTGTTGGTCAGTTGTTTATGGTCCACTCCAGACAGGGCCCTGGTCGGTCTGTGCGTGATCTGACCCACCTGATGTCTCCCACACAATGCTCCATGCCGAACACATGCAACTGCGGACCCGCCTCAAACATACCTCCCCCGGAAGCCACGGACCACCCACAAGGCCCCAGGCTGGGCTGGCGAGCAAGGCCACCCCCAGTCCTTGAGACGCAGATGGCCCTCGGGAAGGAATCACGTTTACAGAACAGGCTGCAGGAAGCAGGCGGGCCCTGTCACCTCATTCTGTGCGTAAGGTCACCGCGGGAAGTGGCCTCTTCGCCTAGAAGACCTTTCTCGGTACAGCCCCGCCGGAAGTTCCAGAAGCAACACCTACCGACCACGGCCTTGACCCCTTGCCCTGGAGAAAGCAGGGGCCTGCCGGGCCCTCGCAAGCCACGGGGGTGGGCGCTCCTTCCCGGGACCCCCCGACCCTGGGACCCAGGACCCAGGCCGCGCAGCCCGGAGCCAGTGCGGCAGAGGAGACCCGACCCCGCCGCGGGACGAGTCCGCCCGCGGTCTCCAGGGCTTTCGGGGGGGAGCCTCTGTAGGTGCGGTCCCCGGGGGGTGCATAACTGGCAGGTTCCCGGGGCTCCCAGGGGCGGTGGGGCCTCGGTTTGCTTAGGGGGCTCGTCGCCCGGCCCCGGTGCAGGGCAGGCGGTCGGTGCAGGGGACGGGCTCCTCTCTGAGCGCAGCACGCGGCAGGCCGGGGGTCGGGACCCCCTTACCTGAGGGGCCGGGCCGGGCCACCCATGCGCAGCCGCTGACGTGCAGAAGGGGCCCGCGCCGGGACCGCCGCTAGCGCCCGGGCCTGCTCCGGGCCAGGGAGCGTCGCCCAGTAGCCGGGGGAGGCAGGTTGGCTTTAGGAAACTTGAGGGATGGACCCGGGAGCCGCCGGTCGGAGAGCGCTCCAGGCCCGCGGGCCCTCGCGACGCTGACACCGGGCAACTCTTCGCAGCGGCAGCAGCACCGACTTGGAAGGCAGGGCAGTCCTTTTCGTCCAGCCCAAACTGCAAAAACAACTGCAGTCCCTCCTTGCAGCACTTAGGCCCGCCTCCCAGTCCCCAGTGGCCTATAGGAAAGGAGCTTCGTCGAGAACTGGGCGCGAACAAGCGGAGACAGCCAATCAGACCTCGGAGGGGCGGGGCAGCCCGTTGACCTCTTAAAGAGACAGCGCAAACCTAAAGTTGGGGGTGGGAGGCGGGCAGGCAGGAACCACTTCAGTTCTTACCCGGAAGGCAGCGCACTACCCTAGGCCAAAGGTACTGCCTCCTAGCGTACCCCGCGCTTTTCCGGCGGCTGTCAACAGCTATCAAAGAAGCAGGTCACGGTCACCAGCGCTCTCCTCCGGCGGACACCTGGCTGCCGCTGACACAGTGGAGGTGGGTCCTGCCCTCAGCTGCCCCAGGAGGAGCCCCCGAGACTGCCCCCTAGCGGGAGCTGCCGAAAACCCCCACGGTGGCATCCCTTCCTCGTACCTAAGTAAGTACCGGGTACCTGAGAGAGGAAGGAAGCGCGGAGAAGGAAGCCCAACGCTCTACCTAATTGACCACCATCAAAGGGCACTGACATTACTGAGTACCATCAAGCATTAATCTGCACAACAACTTGCAGGGCGCGGTTGCTAAGAACCTGAGGTCTGGAAAGAAGCTAAATCACCTGATGCTCAAACCCACACTATTAAGACGTGACAAAGCCAAGACACTGGAGTTGGACACTTGTCTCTCTTTCTCCCTCTTTTATTTCAAATGTTTTTCAGGCCTATGCTCAAAGGCAGCTTCCTCGGGAAGCCTCTCCTGATTGCTCCAGTCCTTGTTCCCCGGCACTAGCTGTGTGTTCACTAGTCTTCTCTCTTCTTTGGCTTACCTGCCCTCTTAGCCTGGCTGATCTCATTCACTGTGCTCAAGCCACACTGGCCCATCTTATGTTCCTTGAATACACCTGCTTTGTTTCTGGGTCTGGTCACTGCAGCTGTCCGTCTGCCTGGAATGTGTGCCTCACATAATTCAAAACTCACCGCCATGAGCTTATTCCAGCCCATAATGACTACAGGACCAGAAAGAATGCCCCTGGGGGTTTCTGAGACTGTAACTCTTTACCTGAGTAGAAAACCTCCTCTCTCTCTTGCTAATGTTCTTTAATTCCTCCAGAGCACTTATCACTACCTAAAATCTATTTTACTTATGAATGCTTTTGCTTTCCAGGTAATCATTCATCGCTCCCACCAGTCATGTCCTTCCATCGTCCAGGGCTGGGTGCCCTAAGATACACACCCTGGGACAATACACTTGGACTGGAATGAAATGTGGCCTCATCATTTTTCACCCTGTTCCCTTTGTATTGCAGCCACCATGCCATCATTTAGAACTTGGTTTACTTGGGATTTTCCCAGTGGGATAGTGGTCAGGTATCCACAGTTTTCATTTCTGTCTTGTCTAGCAAAGGCTGGCTCCATGTTGGCACTTACCTTTAATAGCCTCAGTGGATCAAATTGTGGAAATCATGGTCAGTTCTTAAAGCTTCAGGCCAGGACATCCCATGGGTTCCTTTTGCTTGCATGTGATTGGCAAGTCTTAGGATCACTTCTTACCTCAAGAGGGCAAAATATAACCCCATCCCTCCCTGGGCCAGCAAGGAAAAGAAATGGATTATTTGTGACTACCCTCAACCTTTCTGAGATATGCTGGCTTGCTAGAACATGAAAGTTTTCCATGACTATTGAGCAGTCTTGTACTTTATGCTTAACTTTTACACTCCACATGCAGGTTTCTGAAGGACCCATTCACCTCCAGTGCCACCTGGAGGGCAGGAGCAGTACAGGATCACCTCCACACAGGACAGAGGGTGGCATTAACTAATGTCAATAAAGGTGGTTTAATCATGAAGATCTGACTCACAAGCTGTTCCTTACCTACAGCAAGCTCATTCTCTCTAAGTCCTGGCTGATAGGCAGAGAAGCTGCCACAGCTCTGGACTCCTTAATAACCATGAGGATGAACGTAATGGGCATCCCAGAATAAGAGAGGTCAGACAGTAGTGCTTAGCCATCAGAATGACAGTCATGATGTCAAAGCAGCAGCCAAGAAGCCTGACTGTATTATTAGAATGGACATATTTAATAGTCGGTAGAAATCTGATGTTGGCTCCTTGCTCTGTAGGGTGAGAGTTTACATAGTGGGGTGGGGAAGATTAAGGGATGTTCTTAAAACCTACTCCCCACACCCAGGCCTCAGAACTTCAAAATAATATCACACACCAGAGAAAATGGCAGAGATGAGTGCTCCCTTGAAGACCTAAAACAAGTAAAGATAGTGGATCCCACCCTATCCCTATTTACCATATATACTCGTGTATAAGCTGAGTTTTTCAGCACATTTTAAACGCAGTGTTTGTGGTAAAATTAGGTGCCTTGGCTGATATCCGGGTTAGCTTATACTCAAGTGTGTATGGTAATTCACTAATCTAGCCTTTACAAGAGATCGTAGTAGTACGCTGATTGCTGAATGTGGTGTAATGGCAAGTGCAGATCAACCTGACATCAGGTATCTAGATTATGACCATCACACACTCTGTTTTTGTTTTCCCCCCAACCCTCTCAGGAGCAATTTGCATTCACAAGTAGAAACAACAAGACAGATGTAAGGTCTTGCCCAATGGCTGTGTTCCTCCCCTGCCCTTTGTCATAATAGAGTCTGAAAGAGGCTGGTCCATACGGGCAGTTTACAGGACAGTGCATTGGCTTATTATACTGATGACATCCTGCTCATCAGGATGAAAACTCAACAAATTTCAAATAAATGGAGACTTTAATGAGACATACATACTCCAAAGGGTGGGAGGCCGCCCCTTCGAAGATTTACATCAGTGAAGTTGGTAGAGTCTAGTGGCCTGGGGCATACCAAAGTAAAGGACGGATCATTGCATCCTGCCCCCCTGCCACAGAAGGGCCTGCTAGGGCTTTGAGGCTTTAACGTTCTGAAGGCAGTATGTTGCAGACTGAGGAATACTGGCCTAACCCATATATCCAAATCTTTGGATGGCATAAATGGCTTTCAGCTTTGACCAAGGCCCGTGGCAGGAAATGACTGTTCCTTAGGCCTTAGGCTTACTTAGATGCACTGGAGGTAAGAAAAGATGCTGTGTGGCGTTTATGGCAATCCCTAGTGGAAAAAACATAACGTAGGCTTCTCTAGGGTTCTCGAGTAAGGCCATGGCATTGACCTTTCAAAAAACCATCTCCACTGGGGTAGGGCCTGGTAGAGATGGCAATGGGACCTCACGTGACACGTAGGCCAGAGCTTCCCTTCGTGAACTTCATGGTTGGAGTTTTACGGACTTCCCTTGACCGTCCTCACCATAGTGGCCCCAGCAGCAATCCGTCAGAAGCAGAAATGGTACAGACTTGGAGTTAGGCATGACAGGGGCAGAAGGAGCAACTAAGTCACAGGAACAGGTGGCCCAAGCCCCCTATCATCTATCCTTGTTGCACTGTCACACTGACTTCACATACAGTCATTTAGGAGGTCCCTTACGCCCCTCCGAGGAAAACAGCTGAGCTTGGGCCACACACAGATGGGTCAATCCGTTATGGGTGTCAGAAATACGAGTAGGCAGAGCTTTTGACACGGTGTCTGGGCATCTCTACTTTTTGCAGGAGGAGGTGGGTATGTTAGTCTGGGTTGACGAGAGAAACAAATTCGTAGGCATGTGGATAAGAAGAGCATTATATAAAAGAGTAATTATATTGAGGAAACATCCCAGCCTAGTCCAGATCAACTCCATTAGTCCGATATTAATCCATATGTCTGATACCAGTCTACAAATTCCCCCACAGACTCACGAA